GGGGCTACAGAAGGCACGCTTTAATGAAGAACAACAACGGTTCTTTCTGAAAAATTAACTGAAACAAGTGGAAAAGAAAATGCCAGATAGAGTGAATCTCACAAAAAAATCCTCTCTAAAATTCTAGATATTATAATTCGTTGTAACTGGAATATCCCAAGTGGTCCAATGGAGTTAATTGACTATTTTTAATTTTCTTTTAATATTTTGAGCGATTATTTCCATCTATTGGTATTACAAAACCACCATTTTTATTTTTCATTTTACTTCGTTTAACCACGGTGGTCATCTTTTGTCATGGCGCACAACAAATTTTGGGTCATACGGACATTTATGGAAACCTCAGTATCCTGGCTCAGAAAAATCACTAGCTCAAGATAGTCCTGAAGCTCCTTGAATCAAGAGCTTATCTCAAATTAATGCACATTTCAAGATACATGAACATTAAAGTTCCTTAGACTTCAAATTTAAGTCCAAATGTAAATATAGCTGCAAGCAGCAATTAAGGGGCCCAAGCACAACAGAGGCAGAATGATGAGCAATCATTGCAAGGAGGAGCAGACCGAACGCAACAGTGAGTGATTAAAGACATTTTAAGGTGATTTTACTCAATCTGGCTGAAAAATCATGAATTCAATCATTAGTAATATGATTTAATTGTTCATCACTTTTCACCAATAGGTAGCACTGTTATCAAATTGATGTGGTGTGGTCAGTGTGAGGTGACAATGGCACACACAAAGTTTGGTGTCAGAATGTCAAAGATTTGCAGAGATACAGCTTTAGATGCAGTTTGGCACCATGCCATCAAAATTGATGCGTTAAATGAAAACCATTTCAGCTACAGACATGAAATCCATAATTTTTTGCCGGCATGGTCTGAAGATGATCTGAGCCAAATTTGGTGAAAATCGAAACAACGGTCTAGGTGAAGATCGAAAAAGTACGTTTTCAACAAATAAAAATGGCGATTAATGCTGATTATGGCATAATTGGTATGAATGTTTTCGGCATGATCCAAGGAATCATGACAATACGCAAAATTAATAAAAAGTTATTTGCATAATTAAAAAAAAAAACAATTTTTTTTTTTTTAATCTGCTTGATCCAAGGAATCATGACAATAGGCAAAATTAATCAAAAGTTATTCACGTTTTTTTATTTATATATATATAATTTTTGACCACAAAGTGGCACTGCTCTAAAACTTTTTGAGTACCTTCAGGGCATGGTGCCGAAGACACATACCAAATTTCATAAAGATATGCCAATGCATTCTTATAATAAAGCCTTTTTTTTTTTTTTTTCAAAATGGCAAGACGCCCAAAATTGCCGACATGCAAAAATTGGGTACCATTTTACTCAGCATGCTGCTATGAATGTAAAGAGACCAGTCTTGAGATTTTTCTGAGCCAAGATACTTAGGTTTCCATAAATGACCCAAATTTTGTTGTGCACCATGACACAAAGACGACCACCGTGGTTATCGGTGTACAAAGTACAAACTGTACAAAAAGTACAAAGTACATAAGTACAAAACTAGTGTTTTACAATGCCAATAGACAGAGGTAATCACTCAAAAATTAGAAAAATTAAAAACGGTCAAGCAACCAACTTTACAACTTCGGACCACTCGAGATGGATTGACCAAACGTCAAAAACGTGCTTGTAGCATTGTACATCTAGTCTGTAAAAGCGAATGAGGCGGTGGATACGACAGGTACATGTGTGCTACATTCCCTGACGGCTATTTGTGCTTATCTGCGTCATATTTTCTCTGTACATCATTTTAAAGTAGCCGCATCCTCTGGAGACACACGACAGACGTAGTCATATAAAACGAACACAACCTGAACAGACGTCATAATGCCCACGTCATCGTCCCTGTTCCAGGACAGAGCCTATTGCTTCCCAAGAGGACACATCCGACAGTGTTCATTTAGACTTTTTCGTTTCTTGCTGTTTGTCAAGCACAAATGGTTACGGTTGCATAAATGTAGGCGACGGACTAATATACACAACCAGTCAAAAGTTTTTTGTTTTTAAAAAGTCTCTTCTGCTCACCAGGCCTGCATTTATTTGATCAAAAATACAGCAAAAGCAGTAATATTGTGGATATTTTTACTACTGCTTTCTATATGAATACGTTTTAAACTAATTTATTCCTGTGATCTTTCAGCATCATTACTGCAGTCTTCAGTGTCACATGATCTTCAGAAATCATTCTAATATGCTGATTTGCTGCTCAAGAAAAATGTATAAATATTATTATTATTATCAATATTTAAAACAGTTGAGTCCATTTTTTTCAGGATTCTTTGATGAACAGAAAGATCCAAAGATCAGCATTTATCTGAAATAAAAAAGTTTTTGTAACATTACACACTATGCCATTCAAAAGCTTGGAGTCAGTATAATTTTTTTTTTATTTTGGGGGAAAGAAATTATATAAATTAAGATTTTTATTTAGCAAGGATGCTTTAAATTGATCAAAAGTATGATAAAGACATTTATAATGTTACAAAAGATTTCTATTTCAGATAAATGCTGTTCTTCTGAACTTTCTATTCATCAAAGAAACCTGAAAAATTCTACTCAGCTGTTTTCAACATAATAATAATAATAATAATAATAATAAATTTTTTTTTTGAGCTGCAAATCAGAACATTAGAATGATGACTGAAGTAATGATGCTGAAAATTCAGCTTTGAAATCACAGGAATAAATTACATTTAAAACATATTCAAGTAGAAAATTGTTATTTTAAATAGTACAAATATTTACTGTTTTTACTGTACTTTGGATCAAATAAATGCAACCTCGGTGAGCAGAAGAGACTTCTTTAAAAAACATTCAAATCTTACTGTTCAAACACTTTTGACTGGTAGTGTACTCTGACACAAACACTATTACATCTGTAGGTCTAGAAACGTCACGGGGATCTGAAAATGGTTTCAGGAGGCAAGCACGCTTCGCCGCACTACCTCCTCCTTCCCAGCATGCAATTGGGGCAAGCGTAGCTTCCGGCTGAACGAGCGCAATTCACTGTCACTCTGCTCGGCGTCAGAGAAATAGCCGTCTGTTTCAGTGTCGAGTGTGGAGGTGTTGTTCCCAGTGCTCTTGGGAAGGGAGGTCTCCGTCGAGTTGCTCTTAGAGCGTGACTTGCCCTGTCTAGGTCGACGCAGACGCAAGGCCATTTGCGAGCGCTTGCCGCTCTCCGCAACGAATCCGCAAGAGCCACATTCTTCGGAAATGTGGCACGAGTCCATTTTGGATATGGCTGGCTGCAGAGGGTCTGGTCTGCCGTCGCAGCTGCGGGTGTGATGATGGTGAACATGACGCGCTCTCTCGGCCTTGCCTTTAACTGTGGATCCGATTCTTGGGAGCGAGACGGATTTTCTGCGGCTGCGCGGCGCTCCCCTCGGCTTGCGGCCCAGCTGGGGCGTCTTCCAGGTGGACTTGATGGAGTGGTCCATCATGAGGTTGAGCAGGCTCTCCTCGCCCTGCAGGAGCTGGTCTGACAGGAGGCTAACCGACGGATCGCGCGTCTCTCCGGATAGAGACCACTGGCTCAGCATGTTATCTGCCGTGATGTGAACGGACTGAGCCAGCCAGCTGTCGAACAGCGAGCCGTCCAGCGGGAAGGATTTGGAGAAACCTGTGAAAGAGATAGACATTAGACATCATCTGCCGATATACAGTAATGCTTTATATCGCAATAATGAGCATGCATTATATTCAGGGTTTGAATTTAACTTTTTCACTCACCAGCCAATTTGGCAACTAAATTTTTAAGTTACCGGCCATTCATAACTTCTACTAGCCCAATAACATTTTTTTTTTACCAAAATAAACCAACAGCTTGCGGCTGTCCACATTGGATGTGACCAAACGGGAATTGCAATTTGCAAATCACTTGAATATAGGATAGGGCTGCTCAATTATGGCAAAAATCATAATCACGATTATTTTGGTCAATATTGTAATCACGATTATGAGTGGGCCATATAAAGACCAAAACTTTATATGAGTGATTTATTTAAAGATAGCGATATATCAAATACATATTTTCTGTAAATAAGGTTGCTATTGTGCTAAATTTCACAATTCGTAACTACCACAGCAGAATACTAGGGTAACTAATATTAGTAAAAAACAAACAAAATTCCTCAAAAGTATTGAAAATAATTAAACTGTCAGCAATAAAAAAAAAAAGCAAAGGACAAATACAACAGAATAAAAAGATACAAATAATCAAATGTACAATAAAACAGCATAGTCTTCACTGTAAGAATGAAACTTTCTTTGTTTCTTATTTCTTTGTTCCCAGGGAACACACATACTGGTAAAAAAATGTATAGCCTGAATGCACTGTAAGTCGCTTTGGATAAAAGTGTCTGCTAAATGCATAAATTAAATTATTAAATTAAATTAAATTAAATTAAAGCTACAAAAGTCCTTCATTCAAGAGCAGTTACTGTTACACATGTGTTTTCATTCTCACCTCTTTAAGATCATTTATTACATAACCGACGAGGGTTTACGTGAATAATCATTAAGTGCCGCATTTTGACACATATTTGCGTGTATTTGACCGTTTAGGCGCGCACTTCGAGCTAAAAGATGACTTTACATGTCCGTGTTCTGTTCCGTCTCTGATCGCATGTACGTTAAATCCTCCTGAGGAACAGCGCAAGTTTCACGCTTTTAAAAACATGAATAATCTAATCAACTTTAATAAATCAAGCATGTTGCATTTTGCAAAAGTTACATGATTTTACTGATTTGCACGTGAAATTGGGCTTTTGCGGAGGAACGAAAGTAGACCGCTGGAAAGGGGGCGGAATGGGGCGCAATAATCGTTTTATCTCGATTATTGTATTTTCATAATCGTTGGAGGCTGAAATCGAAACTGTATTTCGATTAATTGCACAGCCCTAGTCAGGGATTTGTCGTGTTGCGCCGCATCCAGTCTAGACAACATCTAGGGTTGTCAACTTAAGAAAAGGAGAATACAGGACAGTCGCATATTTTCATATATATATATTTGTGCTGTCAATCGATAAAAAAAATTTAAAAAAATCATTTTTTTTCTGAACTAATCGCGATTAATCCCACCTAGGGTTGCAAAAAGGTGCAAAATTTCGGAAATATTCCAGAAATTTTGGAAACTTTCCAGGATTTTTTTTTTTGGAATATTCCAGGGATTTTTGGAAAGTTTCCGGAAATTTACTGGAAATTTTCCACCCCTTTGCAACCCTAATCCCACCTAACAAACAATTTTTAAATATACTTTTATATTGCAATAATTTCACATTAAATTTTCAAATTAATGTACAAACAACATAAAGACAGTATATTTTTAATATTTGTTTAATGGCATCTTTTTTTATGACTGAAGGCCAGTATCACTGATACCAATACTTCTGATGTCTCTATAAGATTTGCCCAATTTAGGTGACAAAAAGTAATGCAAAAGTAATGCAATGCATTATTTTCCATAAAAAGTAACACAATTAATTACTTTTTTATGGAGTAATGCAATATTGTAATACATTACTTTTAAAACTAACTTTCCCCTGATCTCAGAGAGCAAAAGTCTTTTTTAGCAGATCTGTACATGAAAGCGAACACATCATTCAGTTACTTACCCAGCTGTGTGAATAGAGAGTTGTCATCTGATCTCCATTTGTCTTTCTTTTCTGGACTACTCTTCCTCCTTTCTTTCACTCGTTCCCTGACTCCACTGCGATGAATCTTCTCCCCTCTCCGAGTTTTGTCTATAAAGTGCAGAATATAAAAGAGCATGCAAAATACTTAAAATGAGCAATTAAACATCTTACAGGTGTCAACTACATTTTTTTTTTTTTATATATATTTCAAATTATATTCAGTGCTTCTCAAAAGCTGTCCTGAGACCCTTATTTTGAATGTTTCCCTCATCTAACACCAGTTTCAGATCATCAGCTCATTAGTGGAGACTGTAAGACAGGAGGGCATGCAATATGTGCTGTGTCTATAGCACAGCTTTGTGAAGTACTGAGTTTGAGGGAAAGATCTGCAAACGCAAGATTTTAAACATTTTAAACAGTCCACAAGAGGGCACAAGACATAAATCTAAACCAAACAGCACCTCATTTACTGCATTTATTGTTTACGGCAAAGAACAAACCTGGCCGTTAACAAGTGCATTTCATTTTAAATCATCCTTTAAATTTAGGATTTCATGCAAATTCATTAATTTCAGTCAATTTTACTCAGACTAAAATTGCATCCAATTCAAATCTACAAAATTGTTAGTTGAAAAATTAAATTATTTAATCAATTTAAACATCAACATTGCAGTAACAAAACATGAGAACTGTCCTTGCTGATCTCCTGAATTCATCATGAATACTCTGAAATACAGTATTGTGATTTCTTATTTATTTTAGGTACTCATTCTTTATATTGTAGTGCACTGTTACAGAAAGTGCACATTCTTATTGCAACTTATATCAGTGAGAAACATTTAATTTAGACTTATGCAGATTTTACGGTCATGAAATTTTGTGGGGGAATAATTCGGTCATCAGAATATGTTTGGGAAAAATTTCCAGTTTGAACGGTCACAATCATTGTTTGTAATATTTCAAGATGAGCACTATTCAGACATTATTTTTCAGAAAAACCATACGATCATCAGGCTTTGGAGGAATGTTTGTTTGTTCATCTCTCAATCATCATTGTATTGCATTGCATTATACGTTTTGAAACTACAGAGCTTTGATCAGAAAACTAATCTTCTCATAAGACATTTTTATATGATTTACATTACAAGCTATCAGAGTTTCATCTTAATTTTCGTCCATATAAATATCAGCATCTGCACCAAATTGCATGTTTTTACTCGGTTTAAGTCTAAATGTATTTATTTATACAGGGTTAATTTTCTGAATTAAATGTAACTTTAAATGATCTGGAATTAAAGGCACAATATGTAACAATTTTTTTATTAAAATATCCAAAAACCACTAGAACAGTGTTATATATTTTGCTGACTTGTGTACTTACATTATCCCAAATGTTTCGTAGAACGTTTAAATCCAGATAAATATGCAATTTTAACTAGTGACACGGACCGTGTCTATTGTGTCGCCTGCCAATGACGTCATAACCCCTCGATTTCTGGTTTTGTTTTGTAGAAAACAGGGAAACAACAAAGACACTTGTCTTTAATAAGTTATGCGTTTTAATAGACCGGTGACGACCGCACAGAGTAGCATTATAACAGAACTAAATGTATCTAGTATGATAAAACAGCGCTGCTTTACCCCACATACGCACGACCGGAAGCAGCAGAAGCGGTCGACTGTGGCATAATAAAAGCTCCGCTGCTTTCCAGCCGTGTGTCGCGCTCATTCAGCGCCTTGTTTCGCTTCGACAGCTTTCAGCCTCACCCTGCTTCATTCTACTACGTTAATAAATCATTAGCTCATCATGAACATGATTTCTGCCCGAGTCCCGTCGGATTGCATCAGCTGTGGGGATGAAGACCACAACTCCCATGATTCCACACTCAGTCACGCCGTCATCAAACTACGCCTTTGTTTCTTTGTTTGTTTTGAATACGTGCCTCTAGTGGCGAAAAATTACATATTGTGCCTTTAAAATAGATGAGCTCACTTGGCTCACACAGCCACTTAATATCATGCAAAGCTTCTATACGTCACTGCAGTGAGTTTGAGTGTGGATAGTTGCTCAAATGTGATGTCAAGAGGCTTTGGTTGTAGTGTATCTTGCGTATGGGAAATAAGGTACAGATTAACCTTCAGCTTTCTTGTTGAGGGTCGAGGACCGCGCTGATGAGGCTCGCAGGCCTGGTGGCCGCATGCCAATCTGTGTGTTTTTTTAGGAAGACAGAATGAATATGGGTCTTAACAGCAGATGACAGAAAGCCAGCGAGTAGAGAGAAGTGCTGACTCAGAGATTCAGGAATAATGAACACTGCAACGAGGGATCTGACCGAATGCAGCTCCTTCATACAGCAGTGTGTGAAAAATGGGTCAGCAGCCAGCGACGCTGTACGCTCAAACCAAAACCATAAGGCACGTCAAATGAATGCAGAACACTCTTTTTTTGCTTTAAGCATTAAAAATGAGAGCTATTAGATTTGTTTGATAAACCTAGCAAAACCTAGTTCCAATCATTTCTCCAGATTCCCTGAATCTTTTCACAATATTAAGTATACAGTAGATGGTGAAAGACCTCAATTCTTTGCAATCTTGCATTGAGAAATGTTATTTTTTAACAGCTTGACAATTCTCTCTTTAAGTTTGGCACAAAGTGGTTGCAAAGACTGAGGCTTTGGTAGATGCTCGTTTATTGGTTTGTTTTTTTCTACCCAATCATGATGCCCTAAACTATTACCAAATGCACCTGCTTATTGTGGACTGTTTCAAAACGGTTCAATTTGGATATTCTATTCTATTATCTACATATTATATTTGTATAAACCTTTAATATTTAATGCTATACAACAACAAAACAACACAAATCTGGTAAAAGGCTAGGAGTGACTGCAAACATCATAGACAAAGTATATGAAACTGAAAATGAAACCGATCAAATATTAAGTTTGCACACCTTATTTCACGGACCAATTGTTTAAAATAGAAAAAATAAACTTTTTTGAAGGGTCTATTTTGAACCCTATTTGTGGCTAATGCTGTGAATGAACTACACTTTGGGGCATTGCCAGCTTAGATCATGTGCCATGAGTAAAAACTGGCACTGATCAAAATGGCAAAAGAAAAACACAAAAGATTGCTGCAGAGAGTTTCCATACCTCCAGCCAGGTCCTTCTCTAAGAGCTGGATCTGCAAGCTAAAGATCTTCTCCTGCAGGTTGCATAAAGAGTGTTTGATCTTCTCTCTGCGTGTGACCATGTAGCACAAGTTTCTGACCTGAAAGAAAACACACCATTTACATTTAAATTACGAACTGAAATCACTATGGTTAGGAGTTAGCGTGTTTCCGAGTAGGGCTCTGGTGTAAAACCTGCAGTGATAATGCTCACGTTCCATATGACTCATCATTCTGATCGGTTCCATATGACTGATGTTGCATTCATCACATTTTAGAACCAGATTAAAGTTGACCTGAAATCCAAATTGATTACGTTCTTTCTCAATCTACATTACATCTACAATGAGTTGCCTACAGTGAACCAAAATACAATACAATGAAACAAAATACAATACAAAGTTAATCTTAACTCAACCTAATCATTGACTAACGTTCATAATCAATAATAGATTAATCACTTCCTGTAGATGCACATCATTTTCAGATCAATGTGAATATTCTTGCTTAGCATAAACCTTGAAAAAGAGGTTTACATGATGATGATCCACACTCAGAATCAGAATCAGAATTAGCTTTATTCGCCAAGTGTGCGCAGACACGCAAGGAATTTGTTGTGGTTTTTAAGGTGCTCTTGGGACATGTACAGATTTATGTACAGATTTGTGCATTGTTTCCTCTATATACAGCTGTATAAATAATGAGATATGCATATGTATTTACATAACACTTGAGAAAGAGGCAATAATTAGAGGTGGAGAATGAATTACAGAAATGAATTACAGAACACAGGTAATGATTCATGTGTTAGCCGTTTAAGCTGGAGATGGCAGGATGGGGGAAGAAACTGTTTTTATGCCTAGATGTTCTAGTGCACAGAGATCTGTAGCGTCTGCCTGAGGAGAGAAGTGCAAACAGGTTGTGTCTGGGGTGAGAGGGGTCTGTGATGATGTTGCCTGCTCGTTTCTTCACTCTGGAGTTGTACAAGTCCTGAAGGTTGGGCAGGTGCACACTAATGATCCTTTCTGCTGTCCTAACAGTTCGTTGCAGTCTTCTTACATCTGATTTGCTGGCTGACCCAAACCAGACAGTTATAGAGGAGCACAGAACCGACTCAATAACAGCGGATTAAAACTGTGTCATCTGCACCTGTGGCAGGTTGAACTTTTTCAGTTGACGAAGGAAGTACAACCTCTGCTGAGCCTTTTTCATGATGGAGTCAATGTGAATGTCCCACTTCAGGTCCTGGGAGTTGGTGGTTCCCAGGAACTTGAATGACTCCACTGCAGCCACAGTGCTGTTCGTGATGGTGAGTGGGGGGAGTGCAGGGGGGTTCTCCACAATTTTGAGCATGTTCAGCTCCAGGTTGTTAAGACTGCACCAGACAGTCAGCTGCTCAACCTCCTGTCTGTAAGCAGACTCGTCGCCGTCCTGGATGAGGCCGATGACTGTGGTGTCGTCTGCAAACTTCAGGAGCTTGACAGAGGGGTCTTTAGAGGTGCAGTCATTTGTGTAGAGGGAGAAGTGCAGTGGGGAGAGAACGCAGCCCTGAGGAACTCCAGTGCTGATGGTGCGGCTGTTGGATGTGAGTTTTCCCAGCCTCACTAGCTGCTGCCTGTCTGTGAGAAAGCTGGTGATCCACTGACAGATGGAGGTGGGCACAGAGAGCTGGATCAGTTTATTCAGAAGGGTATCTGGGATGATGGTGTTGAAAGCGGAGCTGAAGTCCACAAATAGGATCCTAGCTTAAGTCACTGGTTTGTCCAGATTCTGCAGGATGAAGTGCAGTTCCATATTGACTGGATCATCCACAGACCTGTTTGCTCGGTAAGCAAACTGCAGGGGGTCCAGCAGGGGTCCAGTAATGTCCTTCAAGTAGGCCAGCACCAGCCTCTCAAATGACTTCATGACCACAGATGTTAAAGCAACAGGTCTGTAGTCATTTAGTTCTGTGATTTTTGGTTTCTTGGGTACAGTGATGATGGTGGAGCGTTTAAAGCAGGAGGGGACTTCACACACCTCCAGTGATCTGTTGAAAATCAATGTGAAGATGGATGATAGCTGGACAGCACAGGCTTTGAGGCAGGCTGGAGAGACACCGTCTGGGCCTTTGGCTTTCCTTATCTTCTGCTTTCTGAAGACTTTGCGTACATTGTCTTCACAGATATTGAGTGCAGGCTGAGAAACAGTAGGGGGGAGGGAGGGGAAGGGTGTTGATGGCTGTGTTGCGAGACGGTCGCCGTGATTTTGCCAAGTAAGACATGTTCCTGGATCAACATCTTTTGTTGATCCTGGATCAACATTACTGTCCAAAAATATAGATTAAACCCAATCCCTACCCCTAAACCTAACCCTACCCATAATTTATTTCTAAAATCAGTGTGAAATGATAGCTGATTAACAAGGGTGTAGAAGCACCTAACCCTGATCGTAAGCCTAAAACAGATATTTCCTGAAAAGTTATCCCTCAATTCTGATTGGTTAATTGGAATGTTGTTCCAGGATCAACAAGGATGTTGATCCAGGAACATGTTGTACTTGGTCAAATCACGGTCACCCTAGATACAAGCACACACAACATGTTGTACTTGGTGAAATCACGGTCACCGTTGTGAGACGGTCAGAGCGGGTGTGGGGTGTCAGACCAGTCTTTTGCTTTTCAAACCTGCAGTAAAATTCGTTGAGATCTTCAGCCAGTTGTTGATTGGCCTCAGTGCTGGGGGATGGGGTCTTGTAACAAGTGATGTCTTTCAGGCCTTTCCACACTGATGTAGAGTCATTACTTGAAAGCTGTTTTTTTAGCTTTTCAGAGTAGTTTAACTTTGCCACTCTTATCTCCCTATTCAGTGTGTATTTGGCCTGTTTGTACAAGTCTTTGTCCCCACTCCTGTAGGCGTCCTCTTTGGCCTGGCGAAGCTGTTTGAGTTTTGCACTGAACCAAGGTTTGTCGTTGTTAAATAAGTCCTGGTGGGAACACACATGTCCTCCCAGAAACTGATGTAGGACGTCACGGTGTCAGTAAGCTCATCCAGATCAGTAGCTCAGCCTCAAAAACACTCCAATCTGCGCAGTCGAAGCAGGCTTGTAAATCCCGCTCTGCTTAATTAGTCCATCTCATTACAGTTTTTACTACAGGCTTAGCAGAATTAAGTTTCTGCTTGTAGGCCGGTAGAAGATGAACTAAACAGTGACCAGAGAGTCCCAGAGCTGCTCGGGGGACAGAGTGATATGCAACCTTCAGAAAAGTATAGCAATGGTCCAGTATATTGCTGTCCCTGGTGGGGCATGTGATGTGCTGTCTGTATTTAGGCAGTTCGCAGGTGAGATTAGCTTTTTTAAAATCACCGAGAACAATAATGAAAGAGTCCGGATAACGCTGCTCTGTGTGTGTGATCTGATCGGCCAACAGTTCTAACGCCACGCTCACTCACGCATCAGGAGGAATGTACACACTCACCAGAATAAACGAGGAGAACTCCCGCGGCGAATAATGAGGCTTACAGTTAATAAAGAGAGCTTCCAAATTTGGGCAGCACATCTTCTTTAAAACTGACACGTCTGTACACCAGCCTTCACTGATATAAAAACAATCCACCGCCTCTCGTTTTCCCCAACGACTCGGTCCGATCTGAACAGCTGGAAGCCCGTTAGATGTAACGTGCTGTCCGGGATGGCTCTGTTCAACCAGGTTTCCGTGAAGCAAAGGGCAGCAGAGTTTAAAAAGTCCTTGTTTGTGCAGGTGAGGAGTTGTAGTTCGTCTGATTTATTTGCTACGGAGCGGAGATTCGCCAGATGAATGCTCGGCAGTGGAGTCCTAAACCCGCGCTCCGGAATTTCACGAGCGCACAGCGTGCTTCCCTCGCTTGCGTCACCTGGAGCGCTTGTATAGATTATAATTAGGGCTGCACGATTAATCGCATGCGATATTTAACCCGCATCTTATCAGTAAAGCTGGTTCTGTAATCAGCGGTAAATCTCCATCACCTGCGGGCTTTCACATTGAGCAGCATTAACTACACAGAGCCGTTGTTCACTGA